GATCAGCAGCTGATTCCAGGAAGCCCGGGGCAGAGCAACTCTGCCTTGGGCTTCCTGTAGTCAGCCGCTGGTCAGTTTCAGCAGCGGCTGAATCTGGATGCCAGTTCCGACTTACATACAGATTCAACTTAAGAACAAACCTACAGTCCCTATCTTGTACGTAACCCGGGGACTGCCTGTATAATGCTCTTCAAGCTTAAGAGAAATCTGTCAAAATGCACAGTGCCATCTGCAAATCTGCTATGTCTGGAGAAATTAGCTTTGCTAGTAATCTGTTGCTTTGGGTAAAATGTGTGTAGTACATCTTTCCTCTCTAAAGCTTCTCATGCCCCCCAGAATACATTCTACACAACCCCAGGACACTTCTCCCCCCCCCCCCCCCCTCTGAATCCTATGTTTCTCTCTGGACTGAAATCAAGCATAATAATGATATCCTTATTTCAAAGCAAAGGCTTGCTTATCTGGAACTTTTTCAGAGATGTGCATCAGTTTATTCTTGAAAAGCTTTTCCAAACTTGACTCCTTGAATCCTTACCTAATACAAGGAGGTATGGGTTTCACATCTCCTGTTCCATGCATTGGTGGAGGGGGTGGTGGCTCATGTGGTCTGACCAACCCTCTTTCCTCAGCTCTGGTCTATAGGGTAATGCAGAAAGGGAATAAGATCCATCCATATGATCCACATATGGCTGAGGTCTAAGAAAAAACAAAGGCAATTTTTCACTTAAAAATTGTCTTGCTGATGATCAGACATACACATTTGTAGAAATCATTTAATATCTAGCTCAGCTATAATATTATGCTTCAGTTTGATCTCTGAATTAAATTAAATTCCCTCTCTGTACCAGAAATGTCAATCGAACTGTGGTTTTTAATCTTTTTCTTTCCCTTTCTGCCCTACAGTAGCTTCTAGCAACTCAAATGTTAAACAGTTTGTCATTGCTAAACCATACAATTCCTACATTATGTGATGACATGTTTATACAACAATGTAGTGGTTTGTGCTTCACAATCTTTTCATATGCAAACCTCATTTTACTACCTTTCTAAATGTTATAGCAAAACTTCATATATTGTAGTATTTCGAAGTTTTATAAAACATTTGTCAAGGCATTACTCTGTTTGACTTGCTTGTGGACTCACAATTTAGAGTTCAAATGATGTCCTGCCAAACACAATGTTGTTAGCTAATACACTTTAGTTATCTTATTTAACTATACTACAATGTAGTAGCAGTAAAATGAAGGTAATTTATCAACAGCTTAAAATACTTTGATGTACTGCTGGTATCAACCCTTGCTTATGTCTTAAGTTCTGACCAATACCAATTAAGACATTTTTATAGATGTAACTGTTTAATTAAAAAGTTGATAAATATCACAGTTTCTCTGAAGCCAGAGGAGAAGTGTATGCAGAACAATTTCTAACTTCTGGCAGTTCTACTATAGGTTTTAGGATAGTGCCCATTTCTATAATATTTAAGCACAGTATTAAATGGTCATTGTTGATCCCTGGAGCTCTGAGTTTTCAAGTGGTTCTGCAATCATTTTGCTGTGGAATCTGGTGTACACCTGTGGAATTCAGCTATATGAGGTTTTTTTCCCCTGCAGAAGAGCTGCACTTTAAGGAGGGTTTCATCAAAACCTCAGTTGTAAATTACACATTGTAATGCACTGAAACCATTTTTAACTTATCATTCTACATCACTGTAAGTAGAGTTTTTACTAAGTCAGAGTTCTTGTTAGGCAGATTCTTTATATCAGACATACATCCTGAATCCTACAGTCTGCAGCAGGCAACAACTATTAAGCGGGAGACAATATAATCTTAAAAATTAAGTCTTATTGAAAAGGCTGAACCAAAAAAAAGCAACTGCCCCATTCCCCCACACCAACACTATTTCATTTTAATTTTGAAGATTAATGTTTGAAAGTCAGCTCTCTTTCCTAGTATAGGTCCTCAGTTGGTTACATGGTTTTGGTTTTGCATAAACACCATATATGTCACTGAAACATATATGGCTGGACTGCCCTGGGACCTGGCTGAGGGAATTTTGCTGCCCCTTTGGTGCAGCCTAGCTGAGCAGCCCCACTGTGGCACACTACTCCTCGTTCCTCCAGGCAGTTCTGCTACAGTGCACTGGGCTTCCAAGCTGTGGTGCGCTGAACAGCCCCACTGTGGCGTACCGGGCTCCCAACCCTGCCAGACAGCCCCACTGGGACATGCCTGGCTTCTCAGCTACGGGGATCTAGGCTGCTGGCCCCACTAGCAGCTCGCTGCAGCCTGCAACTCTGCCAGTCCACAGGGCTCTTAGACATCAGCGCTCCACCTGGATTCTCTGGTCCTGGAACATCCGTGGTCATGCCAAACCACAGATGTTGCTGGACCAGAGAGTCCTGGTTTACAGAGGTTCAACCTGTACTACCATCAGCTAACTAGAAAAGAATATCATGAAAAAATAATGTAGCATGGTAAGGTTTGCTGAAACTTCAATTCAAATTCTAGATTCAATCAACAGTAAATAAGTTCAGTGGTCTCATCCAAGTGGATAATTTGTTCACATCACAAAACCAGCACATAATAATGGCAGTTTCTGCTTAAGTAAATCAGAAGACTAGAATAATAGGGGTTGTTGTAGGTCACGACTGAAATACAGTGACAGGTCTGTGTGCAAGCCTACACCAATGATATTAGACTCATGAATTTGTAACAGTGACACACACCTTCAAATCCCTAATAACAATGAATTCCAGAGATATAAATGATTCTTTAAAATGACATGGTAATAATAAACCATTGAAAACACCTAAGTAAAAGAACTTCAAAATTGTCTTTTAGTGCAGGTAATTCTGTTATTACTACTGCATTCTGAATACTGAACTGCATATACAGTCATTTACATAATAAATATATTTAGCCTGGGGTAAGATGAATGTCTTAAAATAAAGGAAGGAAAGAAATAAAAGAAACCTTGAGTCAAAATGTGAGGCTGGGCCATTAACAACTTCAATGTGCTTATGTAAGAGATTAGCATCATCCTCTGCAAGCTCTGGACCTTGGGCTAACTTCTGCCACTCTCGCCGTCTGTCATGAGGCGCTCTGGGCACTTTTTCCAGTTCATGGGGGCGATCTAGATTCTTCTGCTGTAAGAGTTATGCAAACAAAACTGACAGTTTTTTTAAAGAGGGATGCTTTTTAAAATCAGTTACAGAACACACAGTAAGACAGATCTTGATTCTAGTGTAAGAAAAAAAATTGCTCAAATCAGAAAAGGAAAGGAAGACCTAATAGAGGGATACACTTCAATTTATATGATTCTTAGCTAAAGAATGATGGTACCAAGTTAAATCAAAATAAAAATAACTCGCTTAAAATAAGTCTTAAATAACATTCTGGACCTGCCTCTCACATTTGCATTTTACAAGATACCATAGTTATGCTATGAAATATATAGGATATAAATGGCAAAACACAAATATGTAGCAGTACTTCCCTTCAGCCTTTTATCCTTTCTTTACAAATTAAAATGTTCCCTTTCTATCATGTTAACCTTAATTTATAGTAAACATTTCTCAAAAAGGTTCCAAGCAACTTTCTCTATAAAACTGTTGGGAATTCATATTTTAAAAGAAGACTCCAGAGATATTCTTGGATAAAACAAACATAGATAGCAGATTTAAAACAAACAAAAGGAAGGTTTTGTTTTGTTTTTCAAACAGCACATGGTCAGCCTGTGGAACTCCTTGCTGGAGGAGGTGGTGAAGACCAGGACTCTAACAGGGTTCAAGAAAGAACTAGATAAATACATGGAGGTTAGGTCCATCAATAGCTATTAGCCGGGATGGTAGGAGTGGTGTCCCTAGCCTCTATCAGAGGCTGGGAATGGATGACGGGAGAGGGATCACATGATGATTCCCTGTTCTGTTTACTCCCTCTGGGGCATCTTGCATTGGCCACTGTTGAAAGTCAGGATACTGGGCTAGATGGATCTTTGGTCTGACCAAGTATGGCTGTTCTTATGTATTCTCACTGTATTTCTTGTAAGTGTTCTTTTACAGTTGTAAGGGATTCATAACATTTGGTAAACCTGCTGTTAACTATGGTGATGCAGTGTTAAAACTGGGCTCTTTTAATGGTGTCTTATTGTAAGGAAGAATTGATTGACTTGAATGACATTGAACCAATTTCAATATGCTTGAAAAGGCTATTTATCTACATAAAGAACTGAAATTCTTTTTAAATTGAAGAACCACTGAAGTATCATACGTGCACACAAACAGAGCCCATAGATATTTAGCTTGAACATACCTTCTGCTTTCTCTTTTCCTTTCTTTTGTCCTCAGTGTCCTGCAACATCTTTTCCTTCCATAGATCAAAGAAATAGGAAGGATTGGTGTAAAACTTCAAACCTTCTTTTCCATCATCTCTAAAATAAAATGATCGAAATAGAGCATACTTATTATTTGGCAGTATATAGAACTAAATGCTGAGGCAATGTAAATATAGTTTATTCAGGTAACTGCAGCCACCACTTTTAAATACAACATTCAGAGGTTTTGCCTCAAGCGCATTATCTAAGAGTTATTAAAATATATAATCCTGAAGCATAATAATTAGATTTAAAATTATACTAAAGATCAGTACACATTAAAGATAAATAAATAAGCTTCTCTGTGATGGATTGGAAGGTTGATACTCTTTTTTAGACATCCCAGCCATTCAGTTAACTAATTGTCTGTAAAGGATTAAACCCAGAAACAGAAGGTCCCTGAGAAACTCCAGGAAGTCTTGGCAAGGAGCCAGGAGAGCCAATGGGAAGAGAATGTGGGATTTGAATTAAAACAGATTCTGCCTGCTTCAATCTTTTGTGTGAGCAGAGCAATAGCAGGGAGAGATGAGTTAACCAAGAACAAGGCAAGGATTTTCCAGCAATATCCCTACCTAAGAAGAGGATGGAACCTTGGACAACAGGTATGTAAGTGAACAGGGAATATTTAGAATAGTGATAGAAATGTAGCCGTGTTAGTCTGGTGTAGCTGAAACAAAAAACAGGACTATGTAGCACTTAAAAGACTAACAAGATGGTTTATTAGGTGATGAGCTTACCATCACCTAATAAACCATCTTGTTAGTCTTTTAAGTGCTACATAGTCCTGTTTTTTGTTTCAGGGAATATTTAATTAGACATGATCAGGTTACTTTCTTTAATACTTGATTTGACTGAACTTCTCCATGCTGATTTATGTACCACTCCTAAGGTTGCCAGGTGTCTGGTTTTGAACCGGACAGTCCAGTATTTGAGCTTTCTGTTCAGGAAACAAATTGAGAAAATAAAAAGGGGAAAATATAGGTGTCTGGTATTTTCTAAATAAGATGTAATATAGATTATGATGTAATGTCAAGTGTGTTAGGGTTGCCAGTGGTTTCAACAAAAATACCTAAGTCCACTCCATCCACTGTACCTTTAAACTGAATCCCAGGGAAACACTTCTCTGTGCTTTTGATCTGCCTTTTTTCAAATCCTCTATAATACCTTGCAACCAAGTATGCTTTAACAAATATAACTTCTTTGCTTTGTTAATAAATTTTCCTTTTTAAGACTATGATCTTTTTCTGCGTCCTAGAAGACAGGAGGTTCTATGTGCATGTGCCTGAGACTAAAGGTCAGCTATTAAGAAACCGCAGTTTGTTTTCAAGCTCTGTCCTGAACAAGGGTTAAAGAGCTTGGGAGTACCCCACAGGAAGAAATTCTCAAGTGAGTCTTCTTGAGTTCTCAAAGGAGTTTTTGCATTTGGATGGTAGAAGCATACCACCCAACATCAGGGAATCTGCGACCTTGGGAAATTTAAGCAGAAGCCTTTAGAGGCAAGGTATTTTTGAAATCTCTTGTAGGCTTTTGCCTTCAGCACTTGAAGTGAAGGAACAACACTGACACTCTCTAACATGGGTAGCCAGATTGATTTGGAGACTCTAAAAAAAATGAAACAAGGAATGGTGATGTGTATTTTGCAGGATAAAATCTACCTCGAAGTCAGTAATTCTCTTGTAGTTTGCTACAGCATTTTAGAGATCCCTTTTGGCTTATAAGATCTGTAACGGCTCTACTGAGCATAGGAATTTATGATAGACTAATTCTCTTATTTTTTCTATTAAACCTTTACACAGGAAAAACCCAGACACTTTGCCTCTGGGGATAATAATGTGGGAGCAATATTTGCTGATCTCTCTTCCTCTGTATGCTCAGCTTCTAACATCTTCCTCACCCATTTTTCCTTGTATTCAGATCCTTATTTTAGAAATCAGTTTTAATGCTAGTTGTGGGATAGCAATAGTATCCAGAATAAATGAATCCACTCATGCTAAATTGTTTTAAAATGTGTCACTAAACTATCTTCCAAAACAGTACCGGTGAATACAATTTGAGGTCTTCAGTGTTTTGTGTAAATAGGCACTGAACATAATTTCAGGAAAGAAAGAAACCCTCAGCTAATTTTTGTACTAACCACAACAGTATAATGCACCTGTTTCATTAAATACTTCTTACTAACTGTCATTATTATTAATAATAATAATAATAATAATAATAAATAGAAATCTGTAATGTACTAAAAATGTCTTTTCCATTTTATTATGTGTTCTTCATCATCTACTATTCTTGAATGTCAATTTCACAGTAAGAGAATAATTTTGTTCCAATTAATTTTGCTGTATCAAGTCTTAGAATTAAATGTGGTTTTGACAGTGCTCTGCCAGAACCCCTTAAACATGGCAACAAATGCACAGTCCTTTTGGATTCCTCCTCCCCCAAAAAATGTCTTTTCCATTTTATTATGTGTTCTTCATCATCTACTATTCTTGAATGTCAATTTCACAGTAAGAGAATAATTTTGTTCCAATTAATTTTGCTGTATCAAGTCTTAGAATTAAATGTGGTTTTGACAGTGCTCTGCCAGAACCCCTTAAACATGGCAACAAATGCACAGTCCTTTTGGATTCCTCCTCCCCCATCCCCTTTTTGAAGAGGTGTGGCCTACCCCACTTCTCAGCCAACCAGCAGGGGCAGGGTCTCCTCCTGGATGTGGAAGAGTGGTTTGCTGGTGGCAGCAGAGCTGGGCAGAGCCTGGCATGGCAGCCTTTGAGCAGTCGCAACCCAGGCAGCAGTGCTCAGCTGGCAGCTAGAAGGCAGCACTGGCCTAGGTGAGGGGGGCAGGGCAGGCACTGTGGACTCGGGGGGTGGGGCTAGTGATGGGGGGCTTCTAAGGTGGCAGCTATGGGACTCTGGAGGTGAAGCTAATACTGGGGGGCTTTGTGGGCAGGGCTAGTACTGGGGGGGGGGCTTGTAG